GTGAGCCAGATCAAGATTTCAGCCACTAAAGAGAAGTTAGGTGTTCTGAAGTTTTCCATAGAGATTAACCTTGGATAACCCAAACTTTTCATCTTTTCGACGAAGCCTCTTATTTCTCTGTGGGACATTCTGGCCAAGGTGGAAAACTCCCTTTAAAGGGATCGTCAATTCATACCCCACAAGTATTTAACCCTGGATTTGACCTTGTTGTGCTTTTCCTTCTCTTCTCTACGGTTAGACCTTGCCTTTGTTGTCATGCCTTTGCCCTTTGATAGCTGGGATTGGCTCCAGAACCCTTCTGCCAAGGAATAAGCTGTAGATAATGGATAGATATTATGAGTAAACCATCTCTACATCATCTCTCTCCTATCTCCAAACTGGTCAGTGTCTTTTTGGTATTCCTTGGATTGTGGCAGCAGTTGGGATCCTTTGTAGTTTTACTTTTATCTTGAAGTCAGTTCTTTTTCATCTCCAGTATCTTCCACTCTCACCCTACATTAAAGGATTTTCTTCCCTTTTGAAATGATTGCCATTAATTCCACCGCTTTTTTTTAATATTGTGTGAAGATCTCCTCCTTAAGATTCACTATTTGACTTTAAAGGCAGTTGTGGGATGAACTACGCAAATGATTCAGAGTGTGTAATGAGAAATCCGGGAAGTCTATAATTGTGCGAGGTGTTTGAATTTCTGTTCTTGTCACTGATTATTTCCCTGTTGACACTGTTGCAAGACATTATATAGAGTTGAAATGATAATGAAGGATTTGACCAGCAGGGGGGGTTGTGCATGAGAAGCTTTTTTGTAAAACAACTTGAGCGCTTCAAGAGACCTTATCAAGTGAGGACAACTTAATGGTTATACATTTAATTCTACACTTGTTCTCTTATCCACATCCCTCAATATCCAATCAACTTGTCCTACCCTGGGACTCCTGCAAATGGCGGGATCAAAAACAGTCTCTTCTCCAGTGATGACTCGGTTGGCTTTGATCTGTCCTCATGCATTTTTAATGAAGGAAAAGTCTATGACTGTCTGATCCACAGGAACGTCGATGCCTCATCTGCTCTCTCTCCGTGGCCATAGATCGGGGATTGTTTGTCCACTTCGATGATGAAATATCACACATTTGTCACAGTTTATCTGACTGGTCCTGAGCTGACAGGACGCTTCTTCGCGTTGATGCTATTGCTTTTGTCAGCACTGAAATCATCCATAAATGCCACACTGCCAATTCCATCGTCAACCACACATGTCCAGGCCATAACAGAACCGCTGCCACGGTCGACAGATGGGGACTGACTCTCCCCTGCTTCCATCACTCTGACATATGTTTTTTGTTGTTTTTGAACAGACCATAAAACTTCCTTTTTGTGTGTTATTGTGAAGCCGTTGGGCCTGTCTGAGATTTGGAGGCCGAGCAGAAGGGGTTGTCCTGCCATGAGTCTTCTTTCTGTTTGCTTTGTAGGAAACGTGCGCCAGAGATCTTGGAGCACTTTCTAGACTTGCTGTGAAGAGTTCCCTTTTTCAAATGTTTCTTGACTTCCATGTCTCAACTTGTGTCGCCCCCTGTGAACAGTTATTTATTCACATATTGTTGAATTTGTCAAAACACCTGTTGTTAATTTGAGCAATCCAGCAATCTTGCTAACTTTTAGCTCTCTTAGGCCATCCAGGCTATAATTTTTTGCTGAGGTTTATTTTCAGAGAGCCTTTCGGTAGCTACCCAGTCTTTCAATCTCTAAACTGACCAACGTTAGCATTGCCACTGAACAGTTTTCTAATCCTGTCCAGTCTGCCTAACAGAAACAGGTTTCTAATCCTGTCCAGTCTGCCTAACAACAATATAAAACAAAGCTTAGCTTTAATAAAGTCTTACATCTTGCTATTCTGAGCAAATCCTTTCCCCTTCTTCTCGATTTTAGCTGGTGTATTTATTGCGCACAACATGCCACTTGTCCCTGCTGCTCTCTCCACGCCTGTTCATCCCTTTGCTTCCCACCTCCTTCTTCTAATACTTTACACACAATCAACTCAGGCACCCCTCTCCCCCCAATGTCATTATGCTTAGATGGGGAACATGTAATCTCCTGCTAACTGCTTGCAAGGAGATGAGGGAACAACAAAGATTCATTAATTATAGAAGGGTAACTCCTCGCTGGGGGGATGTCTTGATGAGAGATAGCAGGAGCGTGAAGGAGAAGGAAGATGAAACAAAAGCAAAATGGATGTCTGAACTCCTTCTTGTCAAGGGGGAGTGGATGGGGCATGGGAGAAAGAATATGGGATGAGAATAGAAAACCTGAATAAAAGAATCCACACAAACAAAGGATTTGCAGATACCGGAGTACTTTTAACACTGATGATTACACTGACGGTAGCTGCGAAAACAGAATCAGATTTAATGTCTATTGGGTTCAAGGTGACTCCCAGTGGTCCAAGGTGGTATCAGAACCTGGATCTGGCAGCAGGACAAAGACTGTGGCCTTGGCTGGTTGGTATGACGACATTAGCTGCAGTTCAATGCCATGGACACAAGGGCATAAAAATTATATTAAACCCCTGCCATTCTTTTGAAAATTAAATTAAAATTATTATAAATTATTATACTTTTTCTATTTAAGTAGCCTTACACGCAGAAGGTCCTGGGTTCGAGCCCAAGAGGAACCTCATACTTAATGGCACCCCCTGTGGCAGCCTGTGTGAATTGCGCTCACAAACGACTGATTCAATAGACATATCGTTGAAGCTAAAAAAGTATTTTTGGCGTGAAATACTCTTTAGACTAACTAATAAACATTATCTGCAAGACTGCCACCTACAGGCTAGATTATATGCATCAGTGATACTGGTGTGCCAGCAATTAATGAAAAAAAGTTATTTTTTTGTGTGTCTTGAACTAATTATTTAATATTGACACAGCCCCGAAAACTATAAATACAACAGCTATAGAATGGAATAATGACAATAAATTATTATTGCTTGTGAAATGTTCAGTGAGTTATTTGTTTGTATCTACCACTCGCCACAACAATCTCTTCTGTTCCCATGACAAAGTAGACCAATTTACAAAGCACCAATCAGCAGACAGGTGAGCTATCATCGACTATGGCTGCAACATTTATACATGTAATGAGAGATACTTCCCTCAGGAGCTGATGGAGTTCACAGCACACCAGTAAACACTGATGACTACAATTTGTCAGGATGCTAATGTTGTTTTGCTGTCTATTTTAAGGGAACATTTAGCTGAAAAAACACAGAAATGTGCCGTTCTGTTCTCTCTGTTTTGACCCAGCCCCGTTCTCCTGGCAGCTTTCAGGCGCTCTGTAAATGTGAAACTAAAAAAAAACGGAAGCTAAGTGAGTGTTGGGAAAGGAATTTCCTCAGTTAGTGGATCTAGTGTCAACAGGCCAATCACTTTTTCCTGGAGGATGATCTGTTTGTGTCTTTTATGCTGCACAGCTCACATTTATTGATGCAGTATCTTCTTTAAATAAAAAATATTGCTGTTTTTGTGTCATTATAGATTAAAAACGTTCAGACCAGGAGCTTTCAACTTCTAAGGAATTTAAACTTCTTCTTCTTCAGCATCTCACTCTGCTGCTGAGATGTAACATTGGCTACTTGGGCTAATCTAGCAGCCAAGGCTAATTCTAGTGCTTAGGAGCCCAGTGCTACTTTAAGTTCCCATGTTACCTGTGGTATTTGGTATTTATGCTAATTTAACAAATGTTATTGCAGCCAATTCAGTTTTCATTTGTAGTTTATGTTGCCTAAATCCTTTAGCTACTGATATTTTAGTCAATATTCAGTTATTTTAGCTACCTATGCTAATTTGGATCAAGCAGCAATTTAAGGACAACTGTGTTACTTTCAACCTATTCATATAACTTTGCTGCACCCTACAGGCTGGAGTGTACACATCAGTGTTACTGTTGAGGCAGAAACAAAGGAAATAAGAACGTTTTTTAACCTCTATTTTCTCTCAGTCTCATTATTACTCAGTAATAACCTTTGCCTGACGCCTGTGCTCCTTTTAACTCATTCAACTAGTTTTGGTGACTTACGGTACCTTACCAAAGCTAATTGTACTAGTTAATTTAGCCTTGCTATGTATACGATACGGCTACATTAGCTACTTCTAGTACTTGCTCAATGCTAACAGTAAATTGTTATTTAATGCTCAACCGGCTTCGTTAGCATTTGATGCTTTGTTTGTCATTTTAGCTACTTATGCTAATTTATCTCACACTTAAAACATGATAGAATCTTTGACTTCTAAATTGCTGTCAGTAGGTGATGCCATTTTTTTAAAGTCATTCTTTGCTACCTTTTCTCAAACAAATATGTCACATTCATTAGCAAACACCTGAGCAGTACAGAGGAACTGTTACTGGTGTGCAGCCACCGTGCTCTTGTGGTCTGTACTGCAAGTGTAAACAGGGAGTAAAAACTGAATTACCTTTCCTGTGGTGCTGCGCAGCTCCCAGGTATATGGACAGGTAACCAACCGTGAGCAGAGCCCACCACCACTGCGTCATGTTGATTATCTTTGCACGCAGGTCACGGCTCCACCACTGGCTGCGGTCTCTCTGGGGAAGCAGTAGCTGTCATAAATGAGTCTCCACATCTCTCACATGCTGCAGTTTGGTGAGTGTCACTCCTTCATTCACTGCGTCCGAATTCTCCTCCCTCCATCTCCTCCACACACTCCCTCTGTCTTTGTTTTATTAACTTTCTCACTCACTGTGTCTGCGCGCGCGTGTGTGTGTGTGTGTGTGTGTGTGTGTGTGTGGGTTCTCTCAGGCTCACCAGAGTCTGGTTTCACAACTGGAAATGATCAAATTTTGGGGAGTGTCTGCCATCTTGGCTGGACTTTTCACAGCTACCGGGCAGTGGTTCAGACTCTGACACTGACTCTTACACAAGTGATGGGATAAATGGGATTTGTGTTGAGCGTGCTGACTGATTGATTGTCTGAGTGACAAGTGACTGTAATCACGTCCAAGAAGGACCTCGTGGTAGTTGAGGCAAACGTCCACCACATCCAGAGACAGCCAGCAGTGAGTCCCATGACATTAAGCTCTTAAACACGGCTACATGTGTTCATTGTTCCTTTGTTCATTGTATTCAACAGAACTGACACAGTCATTCATGTAACCGAAAGATCTCAGCCTGGCAATTTGTGTAAAAACGTATAACAAATCACAAAGTCTAAAAGAATGTTATTTCTCTATGTAACAGACCTGTGTGTAAACCTATAGAGGCGTTGGCACAGCCATGGAAAAGCAGTGTCGCTTCCAGGAATTATGGGAGTAAACAATGCACAAAGTCAGCCTTGTCTTCTAAAAAACATTAACCAACCAGCTACTCTTTAATGGGGTCAAGAATTAGCAGGGAACCTTGAAATGATCTGGAATTGGAGTTGAATTAGCACGATGTGACATTTTAATTACTCATTTAAGTGTGAACACTTAACTTTGGCACAGTTTCAATGGAAAGTGTAGCTAAGCCTCTCGAACATGTGAATATTTTTTTCTTCGGTGGAAAGGTGTGTTCCATTAGTCGTCATAGTCAGGGGCATCTTGGGTAGTAAATTCCTCCAGCACCGGTCCAAAAACCTGAAACATAATTTCAGCAGAAAACAAAAGAGATCCTTAGATTATTAAAAAATAGAAAATATATAAAATATTCAGAGATTCACTGTGCATTAATGCATCCAGACTATTTTCCCCGTATTTGTTGCTTAAATTAAAAACATTTTTATTTTTTGTCAAAATTGTGTAGTTTAAAATTAGTTCCATGAAGTTCTTAAAATGTCACGAAATTTTAAGTTCACTAACACTTGGATGAAGACAACAAGGACAGACTTGGTGAGGGCCCATAATCTCTAATTCAAACATGAATTTACTGACGGTCCCTAAGTGAAAGCCCTTGTCCTGTAGATTGAATACCTGTCACATTGACGTCTTAATTTCACATCAGTGAAAACAAACATCACTCGTTCCACTAGAAAACATCAAGGACACCCCTGTTAATCTGGTTTAATCCTTAAATCTAACATAATCCACTTCAGTGAGTGACTTTAATTTTAATGTTTCCTTCCACTGCCACCGTTGATCTAATATCTGCATGTGCAGCAGGTGGCAACTGCATGGTGCGGTGCCTTTGTCATTTTGGCAGCAAATGAAAGAAAAAAATCCCAAATAAACCATAATACATGGATGAATACGCTGCACATATGCCCCAAGTGGACAAAGCATGACACTGCATTTTTGAGAGACATCTACATCAGTCTCAGTCAATCTGGGGAAACTTTCTTTAGTGTGTCTTATGAACTTCTTTTTCTGGCCATGGGAGGGCAGTGTTGAGACAGCCATTGAGTGAAGTGATTCACATCAGACCAACTTATCCTGCTCTCCAACTCTTCTTTATCTGTTGATGTGGCATGAATTCAGAAATAATAGAATTTCATTTAGATAAGGCTTTTTTTCCCGCCTCTTCCTGACTGTGTGAACGCAAACCCAGTTAAAACCAGGTGTGGACCCTCGAGACGGCCTCTGGTTAATTGCTCCTGCGCCGTAAATCAGTGGAAATGCCTGAAATATGCTAAACAGATACGATGTGTTTAGAGACTGCTTTGTCGTCAAATTGCATGAAAAGAAGAATCGACAGAAAATCTGTAGCTGCAGTTTTTCCCCCTTCGATGCCGGGGGAGCCGGAATAACAAACAACACCCGACCTGACTGTGCACAAGCAGAAAACGCACATTTGGAGTCGGTGACTCATGAAGAAGAATAGCTCGGTGCGTTCGAATATGCAAATGGCGCTTTTATTTCCCCCCGTTTGGTCCGAACCAGCAGCAGCAGCAGATACCGGGCAGCACGTAGCCGACGCGAGGCTCTTTCTTCTTCCATGAGTGAAAGCCCGAGGCTGTGAGTTTTATGTACGACGTTGTTATTGTAGCCGCTCACAGAAAACACTTCCGTTGGTCGAGGTGTCTGTAATTACTTTGAATCCACAAACAAAGCTCTGCTGAAAGGCTCTTTACCTTCAGTCAGGCTTTTCATCCTGAAAGGACGGCGGGCGTTTGGTAGAAATTAAAGGGGGAAAGTATGTTTTTTAGGACTTGTTGTAGAATAATTGAAAAAAATAAATAAAACGTAAACAGCGCAGATGCCTGTAAAGGACGTTACAACACATGTACGTTTCAGACGAAAAACAATTGATTTTTACTCCAAACTACATGTTAATAAACTTTTGTACTGTGTATATTTGTTGGTTATATTTTGTTAGAACTCAATTTTCAAAGTTGATCTTCTTGAAATAAATATTTTCCCAAAGCATCATTACACCAGATACATGTGTTTTATAGATTGCATAACGATTATATTTATATATTTATACTACATTATATATAAATATATATTATATTAGCACATATATATTTATATATCATATTACATTTCATTTCAGATTTTCTCCTATGTTAGATTACCTCCTATTTCTTTCCAAATGCTTTAAACGACATATGTCAAACCTAAGGCCTGTAGGCCAAATGTAGCACGCCACATCATTTTACAGGGTCCACCAGAGCTAACCATACAAATAATTGCCTTAAAATATATTGTTATCCTAAGTTTATACTATTGAATTCCAATTCTAATCAAGTGTACGTTTACATTGTTTTAAGCTAACCTATTTAGCCATTAAACTACGGCTAATTTTAAAAGTCACGACAATTGCTAATTGGCCGCTACAATAGCTTGCTCTCCGCAGTAATAGTCTGCCTTGACACATTTCACTTAAACTGACAGAAAGTGCATCATCGTCATCAAGCAAACAAATGAATTCCACATGTGTTTTTTTTTTCTGTATATATTTGTGTACGTGCCTCCAACCGCAGCAGAGTAATTACCCCGACTGTCCATCAAAACCTCCTGCAAACAATTTCATCAAGGCTCATCTGAATAAAAGCGGTGTCAGACTGACTAATAAGAAGTTGACGGCTCTCAGACAGGCTGCATTATCTTGATTGGACCTATAGAGGCTGACTAGCTCCTCCTCCAAAAAAACTTTTTATTTACAGAATAACT